TGTCCATATCGAGATCACCAAGGCAACAACACGTTCGAAAGTCACAAGCTCCGGGTATCTTAGATGAAGATGAACAGCGAGGAATCTGTCCACACTAACAGCTACAACACCCAGGAACGACGCACATGAAAACAGATAGCCAAAAACAGTCAGAATTAGGTAAGCGTTACAGCCTGGATGGTTTAGTTGTAACAAGTTGACGAGAACTGAAGTGTAAAATGGCTGAACAAACAAACCAACACCGACATCGGAAACAGCGAGGCTCAGCAAAAATGTTCTCAAAGTCTTTGGCAAAGATGAAGCTTTTCGTACCGCATATATTGTTATTATGTTCCACATGATGGCGGTATAGGTAAGAAAACTATTGAAGACACAGTTAGCAATGAAAGTTGAACGAAGTCCTTTTAAGTCGGAATAAGTGGGAAGGTATTGCTGAATCACTACACAAAAGGATCCGTTCATCGTGTTTAGCAGGTGTACTGTAATTCCACTCGATCACACTTCATGCAATCAATATGCAGTATAACTCTATGCTACGGCAATTTCCTCTGGAGTAGGTATTATTGCTTTCTGAAATAGATTTCTCTTCGAACTAACGTGATGGTCCTAGGCACTAGAAACAAACCGTTTTTAACAGCTGCTCAAGAAGTTTGATTTGAGGCCGGAAGATCTTTCTGAAATATTTCCTTTTAAGGGTAATCCGTCTGAAGACAATTATGAAAATGTTTAAGGCCTGAGTGACATGTTTCGCGTAATAAAGCCATCTTTCTTGAAAACCAATTAATCGTCTTATATTTCGACTTGGTGAGTGTGCGAATACATTATTTCTAATGCTTCAAATAAAACTGATTTGTTAATCAACCAGAATAATGACAATTCACGGATCCTTGTAAAGTTGTCAGGAGAATGAATGACATGATTACTTAAGAGAGTTAATAAAACACATTCACCACTACCAGCAATGACAAACGAAGAAATTTCATAGCTCGGTCGAGACAATAAAAATGAGATGTCGCGAAATCAATAACACCAAAAGTTTCATGTGATATCATCATCTGCTAGCTTGAAGATAACTGTATTGAAACAATACAAACACTCACAATAAATAAGGATTTCTTGAAAGCTTTTGATCGTTTTTCTTCTATGGCCTGACTGAATCATACCAGTAAGCCTCGATTTGATTTACTCGCCCAGGTTTTTTTTCTTTGGCCGGCGTCCAAGCACATATCCTATGGGAAATTGGACTCATTTTTGGTTAAGTTCACAAAATTTTTCTTTCGACAGACGTCAAATAATACACTATTTTATAACATTTCGAATAGAGATTACAACTGCTGTCAAATGACTGAGATCAAACGGTTGCACATGCGCACTTACATTAAAGCTGCATGGATAATTTGCCATTGTAAAAAAAGAGAACTCGCGCGAGACGTTTCTTATGGAAGGTTCGAAGTTTATGAGGTCGAGACTTATAGACATTGTCGTTCTAAACTTTCCTTACTATGTACTATTTTACACTCATACTTTTTTCACACTTTGCACAGCACCGGAATGAAGCCGTCCGTAAATGGTCGTGTTGGCTGTAGTTATTCTTTGTTGTGTTCATGGTGGAGTTGTCGGTAAATACCGAGGGAAATGTGTGAAAAAAGGAAGAACCAGAGCCAAATAAAATGTTTGTGACGAAAGCATGTCTGTGTCTATCGCGGAGAGTAAATCGGGAAAAACAGTGCAGCAAGGGTAGAAAATGTTTCTGTCATTTGCCTTCGTAGCCGAAACAAAGCATCTGCGTTTAAAAACATTTGGGAAATCTCACAATAAAACAAGCCCAATATTTAACCTTTCTTCAAAAGTCTTAAGGTATTGGAGTAGTTGGAAATTTAAACTTTTCCTCCTCATTTTACGCTAGACACGCGTTGGTATATCCTTCTAACTGTTGTTAGACCCCTGTCCATGCGCAATGTTTGACCGCTGTGTTGTCTGACGTAATTTACTGCTCCATGACCCGTCGTCTCTCCGCTGAAAAAAGATGGGCGCGCAAGGGACTGAGGAAAGGCACAGTTCCCATGGTTCTTTGCGCTTCATGCGCTTCGTGAGCTCAAGATGTTTGAAAACAATGGAGGACGAGGCCCCCCTCCAGCTTAATTTTACGTCGACTAAGACTTGTGGCAAGTTCAGAAAATGGAAAAACTCAGGTCCCTACGAAAGTTTCCAAAGCTGACACCGACAAAACACATCATTCTTAAATTCATGAATTTCAGAAAAGCCGTGATCCTATTTCAGTATACTACTGCCAAATTTGCCGTACTGCATCCAAGTAGAGGGGTTGATACGCAAGGCACAATACAACGCCAATAGTAAATTTACAGTAAGCGACAAAAAATGTCGAGTTAAGTCTTAGGATGATTTCCTTTTTCAGAGAAAACATTTTTTAGCACAGGGCAAAGAACAGAATAGGTTTTCACTCATCACATCGCTGGAAATTTGATGCACACGTGGAGCCCACCGCAACTGAGACTCCTCAAACTAATGTCTTGGTATTTCAGCTTGGCAATTCTGCCGATCGTCTTTTATTCCTTCCCCAAAAATTTCCACGTGTAGTACCATCCATACGTTCCACAAAGTAAATATCACATTTAGACTTGACCAGGAAGGTAGATGTTAACGTGCAATATGCTCTTCGACATTCTCAGATCACTCTCAGTTCTGTTTTCCAAAGTCTCACAAAAATAGCCAGGCGACTACGCGTGGTGTTTTAATTTGCATTAGTCCCGTCTCCATTGAGCCAGTTGACGGAACAAAAACTACATCCAAAATAAACTCGAATTTTGTACAACTTGCAGAGCGATAAAACAAATTTTGAACAAACTAGCGCGTGAAAAACTAAAAAAATTGTATAGCTACCAGTGTTATGCTCTTTTCACTGGGATTAACTCCATGAAACGTGACACTTCTCTTGACGGCGCACTCCCCTAGACTTGCCCACCATCTTGCTGTGCACAACTCTAAGGTCTCACCACCCTTAGAAAAGGAAAAAGAAAAACGGAAACAAAGGGTTACCAAAGAAAAACGAAAACACAGGGTTACCAAACAAAAAGTTATAACCACACTAACTCATCGGTTGGTCTTACTCATGTTTTCACGCGCGTTTAACCGCGCTTATTTCAAGTTATACATTTTTAGCGTGATTGCCAATGGTCGCAATTCCCCGCCACTTCCACTTGTCACGTGTTCTTACAGACTTTACTTTCTCAGTTTGCCTTCAGTGGCTAAGCTTCTTTCCATAAATCAAATCAAACTTTCCATAAAAAAAACAACAACATACGTTTTTCACAGACAAATCAAAATACCACATGTCACTGGCGTAATACTTTTTTCTGCCTGGCTGCTTTTAATATCTTAGTTTAAAGTTTATAGGATGGTTACTTCACGCGAGGCCTGACCCAAATCGCGGTTTTTCGCAAGCAGTGGGTCTCAGGTATTCTCTATCAGAAGACTGATTTAACAAAATAAATTTTTCTTCCGCTATTTGTTTTCGGCCCTCTTGACACTGCTCACAAAGACAAATGTTCAAATAAAAGGTTCGGTATAAATAACGATGGGATGGCTTATAACGCGGTAGTGTTAAACAACGGCTATACATTGTTTAAAAAGCCGGCCTTTTGAAACTCGATTGAAACGCACTCTATCTACCGTTTCAATATCAAAACAACTCTTACCTTTACTGCAAAACTAAGGGTTTTCTCGCTCAGCGGTGCAAGGATAAAAAATTGGAAGAACTCGTGTTCCTTAAAGGACGAGAGAGGTGACAACTGAACGGCATGGAGAAGAAAGCGGCCACTGACTTCTTGTTCAAGTGAAAGAGCTGAAAATTCTTTTAATAAGAAAAAAAAAACGATTATAAAAGGRMSRTWAKCCKKCKYYA